TCCATGGGCCAAAATCTGCCATTGTCTGGTTTTGTAAGTAAAGTTTTTTTGGGGAGCACAGTCCCATTCATTCATTTATTTTTTTCTATGGCTGCTATACCTGGCGGAGTTGAGCAGTTGTGATTGAGAATGCATGGACCTGCAAAATGATTTACTCTCTGGCCATTACAGAAAAATTTGCCACCCTGTTCTGCTCCTGATCAAGTAGACTCAGGAAAAAAAAAATGATCTTTGATTTAATTTACATATTGACTAAACCCTTGAAATCCGTACCTCTTTTCTTCCTACTTAACAGGGGGAGAAAGTATAACAACGTTTAATGGAAGAATTTCCTAAAATAAAGTCTCAATACCTACCAATTTTTCATCACAACCATCGAAGTTGAGTACCTCACAAACAGAGCTTTAAGAACTGAGCTAATCAAGTGCTTACTCTATACTGGGCAAGGGAAGAGTACTGAGGGGTTGGTGGAACACAGAGGCAAAACACAAGTCTGGAGTATGAGGTGTTCCCTATTTAGTGAAGACATGTAAGCACAGATTCCCGGTATAAGCAATCTCTCTACTCAGCCCCAGCTCTTAACTGATGCTCCTATTATGAGACCTACTGTGGTCAGCTTTCTCATAGAATCATGTACAGTGTATCTCTCCATTAAATGGGGGGACATGGGAAGCACATCCTCTCATGTTCATCACTGTATTCACAGTGCCTAGCAGAGTGTGGTGCACTTTCTAGGCACTCAGTTAACATTTGTGGAATTTGACATTTGCTGTCATAAAAAAGATAAGATAAAATAAAAAGCAATCTCTACATATCTACTGAATGGCAATGTATGATTGATCATCCATGCTGTCAACCCCATTTCCTCCCATATTCATCTGGAGCAAGCTCCATCGGAGCTATTAAGATAGGACAAAGATACCCCAAAGTTTTATGGTGGGCATTGTAAAATTCATTGCAATAACTGAGCACACTTTTTAAAAAGTTATATTTTTTATTACAGTTTACATTCAGTATTATTTTGTCTTAGTTTCAGGTGTACATCGTAGGTTAGACAATTTGGTTAGACAACCATATACTTTATAAAGTGACCCCCCCCAATATTTCTAGTACCCACCGGGCACCATACATAATTATTACAATATTATTGACTATTTTCCCTATTTGGTACTTTACATCCCTTGACTATTCTGTAACTACCAATAAGTACTTAATCCCTTAACCTTTTTCACCAATCCCCAAGCCCCCTCCCCTCTGTTAACTCTCAATGTGTTCTTTGTATATGAGTCTGTTTCAATTTTGCTTGTTTATTTTGGTTTTCAGATTCCACATATAAGTGAAATTGTGTGATATTTGCCTTTTTCTATCTGACTTATTTTACTTAGCATTAATACCCTTCTTATTTGCAATAGCAAAGGTTTTTTTCTATAAGAAACGATGTTTTTGCCCTGGCCAGTTTGGCTCAGCGGTTAGAGCATCACCTGCAGTCCAGAGAGACCCGGGTTCGGTTCCTGCTAAGGGCACGTACCTCAGTTGCAGTTTGTCCCCAGCCCTGGTTGGGTTGTGCGGGTGGCAACCACTCGATGTGTCCCTTTCACGTCGATGTTTCTCTCTCTCTTTCTCTTCCTCTCTCTCCCTCCCACTCTATCCGAACAAAAAAACTAAAAAATGTCCTCGAGTTAGGATAAAAAAAAAGAAACGATGCTTTTTATTATGATGTCAGGAAATACTATGGGACTTCCTGGGCCTTGGCATAAGTATTTAGTGAAGATGTGTATTCTGCTGAGAATCATTTTATGGAGAAAGGCAGATGTTTGATTCTTTAGATTGAATTTGTTTTCTTCAGCAATATCAGAAATCTCTTCTTTTAGCCCCAACTAAATGCACAAAAAGGGAGGGCCCAATAATCCCACTTGTTCTGTCAGTTCCTACCTGGAATAAATACCTAAGACCGGTACTTCTTTTACTTTCATTCTTAAACACACACATAAAATAATCTAAAGATTGCTTCTGAATCCCGTTCACCCACTGGGGTTGTTCATGTAATTTGCCTCCTGTAACTTGGTCAGATGTCTGCTCCTAATTCTCGAAGATCACATACTTCCAGAGGGCATGCTTATTTCTTTTCAAAGCAGCAGCACAGAATGGATTCAACTGCATGGTAACACATCCCATGACAAAACCTCCTGATTGATACTGCTTGCCGCACAGAGCTCATTTTCTGAAAGTGCACCTCAAGAGTTTTGTGTGGTCTCATCCCATCTCCTGTGACCTATTAGTAGTGCCTTTGCCTGGGTCCCAGAATCCTGAATTAGTTCAGTGGCAGATTCAAGAAGCCTGCTTTTCATCTTGACTGCTGTTCTCAGAGCTGTCTCTTTCCCACAGAGCATTCTTTTTCAAACTATCTTTTCTAAGGATTTTTATGATAACCCCATAAGGATTCAAGTTTTATCTTCCTTTTTTTTTTCTTTTTTCCTTTCAACATCAATTAGTTGGTGCGGCAAATTGAGAGAAGATAAATCCATGGTTTTGAACTAGGAATATAATTCAAAGCTGACATTGGCTTACAACCTGCGATTCTTTTCCCTTTAATATTTGATGATACAAAATAAAAATGTTCAATAAATGTTTGTAGAATGGAATTGAGTTTTTACTGAAAGGTTCAGGAATGGAAAAAATGGCAAAATTGAAAAACCAATAAGCCAAACCAGACACACACACACACAAAACCAATCTAGACTCTAAAGTGAAACATCCATTTTAATTTCCTCACTGCTTTTAATTGGTTCTACATATAATATACTAATTTCAAAGGAGAGAAAATTAGCCATAAGTGAAGTTAAGGGACACCTTTGAAAAACTGTGGGTGTCTAACTGAATCACAAAAGTCTTTGTGTCCACCTGTTGTGAGGATTCTATGAGTCTGGCAAATTTCGAGAGGAGTAAGAGCAGCAATCTCACGAAACAGTCCACTGGGCTATTCCCAGCAGTGTAGGACTGAATGACCACTTTACAAACGAACAAATGAAATGCTTTACAGACAAAACTATTTTCTCCATTCACAGGCTATGAAACTCCCATGAGTAGACAGCCTTGATGTATCCAGCGCTCTGAAAACAACAATTACATAAGACAAGGCCAGGGTTAGGTAATCATTACAATGGCACCGTTTGTTTTACTAACAATTTCTAGTTTAATTTTTTAGTAGGTCAATGGATATGAAAGGCAAAAATAATCCTATGGTACTAATATCAGTTTGTTTTTTTTATTGGTTTAAATGAAAAAACCACTTGAGCAGCGTATATATATGCTTGGCATGTATTTCTTTGGCACGTTGAGTGGCAGTGTGGGCATGAGCCAGGAGCGAGGGCCCAGGGAAGGAGAATTCCCAGAGGTTGGCTGCTTCTTTGGCTAAGAACTGTTTATAGTTGGTAAAAGCTCACTTTCCACAAGGAAATATCTTCCGATTCTATATGACTTAAAAAATTGCAGAGCCAGAAAATCATTTTGCTTTGTGGCTTTAAATTATTATGTTTGTGTCTTTTGTTCTGTTCAGTTTTGTTTTGTTTCCCCTGAAATGCACCATTACCTCCAAATTTCATGGTTGTCTGCCACCATTTAAGTTTTGAATATAAAAACAAGTTTTCCTTTCTTAAATCTCTTCTTCTCTTTCTCTTTTAGCATAAATAAATCAGACATTCTAAAGCCATCATTTAAACATGGGTGCTTACATTCCCGGGAAATAAATAATGCTGGCCTAGTTCTGACAAGTTAGTTTCATTCCAAAATATAACATAAGTTCTCAGTTTTAACTTAATGTTTAAAACTTCTGATGTACCCAGTTTTCCAAAAATGATTCTTTTGAGCATTTTCCTCAAAGTCAAACAATAAAAAGGTTTTAATTTGTTTAGAAAGTACAGAATGATGAATTGGTTTTGCAAAATTCTTCAAAGTAGAGGATAAAATGATTTGAGAAATAATGAGTTGCCCAGAAGTAGACAATTTATCCAAGAAGACATTACACCTCCAATATAAGAAATTGTTAAAACTGTTGTGCGTTCATTTCAAAAGAGATAAGACAATTGTCACATTTGGAATACTGCAAGTAATACATTTTAGTGATGTTCGGCCATAGAAGAAAGAGACCCATAAATTCTGGTTACAGAGATCCTTGTGAGCATGTTGGATAATAAATTGAATGTAATTCATATTTAATGATTTATATTATAAAAATATGCTCTGGCCCTGGCGGGTGTGGCTCTCAGTTGAATGGGTGTTGTCGCATGCACTGAAATGTTGTCGGTTGATTCCCGTCAGGGCACATCCCCAGGACTGCAGCTTGATCCCCTGTAGGAGGTGTGCAGGAGGCAGCAGATTGACATTTTGATTTCATATCACTGTTGCCGTCTCTCTCTCTGTCCCTCTCCCTTCCTCTCTCTCTAAAAATCAATAAAAAATGTATTTAACAAAAATGCTTTGAAACATTTGTAGTGTTTATGTTTTACTGCTATAACTACAAGCCATCAAACCCACATGCTTGGTGTATTCTTCCTTGCTGGTTCAGAGCCTGCTTGTAAGACACATTGCATTGAATGTCTCATAAATTCAAGATTCTTCTAAAGAAAACTAGAGCCCTGGCCTATGTGGCTCAGTTGGTTGAATGTCGTCCTGTGCACTGCAAGGTCGCTGGTTCTGTTCCGGTCAGGTCAGGGCACATGCCCAGGTAGTGGGCTCAGTTCTGGTGGGGGTGTATTCTGGAGGCAACTGATCAATATTTCTGTCTCTCCCTCTCCCTTCCTTTCTCTCTAAAAATCAATAAAAAAAATATTTTTTTAAAGAAACCTAGAAAAAAACACTCACAAGATTTTTCTTTTTGGTAAGCTTCATGCACTAGGCTAGAAAAGTTTTCCCATAATATTAAATGAACAATTCATTGATTCAATAGGTTAACATTTGAGAAAGAAACATAACATATAGGAGGTCACACATTTAATACTCACTGTAGAGAATGGTCCCATTCAAAGTGTTTGTTTTTACAGTCAAGTAGATGGTAACAATTCTGTTATGTTCCTTCTCCAGGACAAACTTCCACTCATTTAGGGTTGCAAAAAACGGCAATTCTAAATAGGAATTCCCATTGAAAAATGGAAAAAATAAACCTGCATCTAAAAAAAAAAAAAGTCATGTTAATATATTTTGATATATTATATTGCTAATCAAGCAGATGAGAACATAATATTATCAGTTATCATTCATTGAAAAAGATAAAAAGTAGCCTGGCTGGTACAGCTCAGTGGATTGAGCATCCTTCCATGCACCAGAGGTCACTGGTTAGATTCTAGTAGGGCACATGCCTGGGTTGTGAGCTCGACTCCCACTAGAGGGTGTGCAGGAGACAGCCAACTGATGTTCTCTCATCGATGTTTCCATTTCTCTCTCCCTCTTCCTTTCTCTCCCTCTTAAAAAAAAAAAAATCAATAAATCTACATATAAAAAGATAAAAACTAATGTTTGCAAATATTATTTAGTCTCAACTTTAAAAAATTTAGATATGTGAGTACAATAAGTTTGTAAAGTCACTGTCTCATATAATTGACCACCAGTCTAGAGGAAAAGACTCAAAGCAAGAATCTAATTTTTTGTTCATGGATGAGTTTAAAGGTGAATAAACACCTTGAAATTGTATAACAAAAATCTGTGTCCCTTCCTATGTGGAATAATGGTTTTCATTAGATTCTTAAAGTATTCTGTGGTACAAATAGCTGGACATCAAAATAATACACTTAAAATTGATGGAGTTTATTTGATGTAATTCCACCTCCATAAAAAAGTAAAAAACTGTGACACAAAAAGATTAGAAAATTGTCACATCTTTTTATTAATAGTCATTAAGATTTAATGCTTTTCACTGATATATAAGATATTTTATGAGGAGTATTACTATAATATGCAAGGTTATTAATGTTTTTTAGGACTATCTTTTTATAATTCTTAATATTTTAAACAATGTCATAAACTCTTGAGATACATTTTTCAAAGTAGTTATTTTATTTTCATATATATATTCAGACCTATGGACTTGGTACACTGAGCAGGTATATTACTAAGATGTTGGAAATGAAACTTTATTTTTTGTCTCTCTCACAACAGGGACGTTATCTCTGCCCCCCTTCACCAGTCAAGGCCTGTAGGGTACCTGACACCTGCTGTCTGTCTTGAGGGGCAGGAAGAGACTGGTTTCTGTTCTTTTTTTTTCTTTCTTACCCCCTCCCCTTCAGGCTAGCTGCTGTTTGGGACTCTTATAGTTTCAAACAGGAGAAGACAAGGTGTACACAGTGAAGCAGAGCTATCAGAGCCGGTGATTAACACTGTAAGCAGGCCTCTTGCTCTGTGGGAATAGCAGAAGATTAAAATAGACTGTTTCTCTCATGGTAGGAATGTCAGATGAAATAGAGGATGCTCAGTTAAATTTCACTTTCAAATAAACAACAATAGATCTCATGCCATGTTTGAAACATAATCATACTAAGAACATTACTGGTTGTTTATTTGAAATTCAAATTGAACTGAGTGTCCTCTATGTTTAGTTGTTAAACTGTTCAGTCTGGTTGTATGACTCATAAGGATTTGTGGAATCTTGAGAAACCCTTTGCCAACTGCAATTCCTAGGAATTGTGCTATAGCCTGTCTTTGGCTTGTCACTTTTAACTTGGTGCTACGCTGGTTTTTCATATTATAGACAGACTCTTGCTGTGGACGGCCACTTTCCTGTGTCAAAGAAAAAGTTGCACTGGATAAAGTTAAACAGGCAAGAAAGACAAGAAAGACTTTATTCAAAGCTAATGCAATAGTGGAGAGAGGCCAGAATTCAGTCTTTGCTCAACTGCTCTAAAACAAAAGGTGTTAAGAGTTTTTAAGAGCTGAGGTGTGGGGATCCTAGGCTACCTGTGTTGCTAGTTGGCTTTACCCTCCAAAACATAAGCACTCTCAGATGTTCATTACAGGAAGAAATTGACCACTTGGAGCAAGGCACCCCTTGACGTCAGGCTCCTACCCTCCCACAGAGACTGGGCGACAGGGCCACTACTTCCTTGATTCCTTTTGAAAGCAACAATGGCTCTAGGTCCTGCAGAAAGACATTCTTGGGTGGTGAAACGAACATAAAGCTTTCAGAAAGATTTACATATCAAAGGAGCCAAAGAAAGAATTTATAATTGAAAGTTTTATAAAAGTGAATTCTCTAAGAAAAGTGAGGTCAGAGGCCTAGAATCAGGAAGAAGCCTGTCTGTCTAAAGTTCAGTCAAGCTGAGGGAACTGTTAACGTCTTCGTCAGCTGACTAGAAAACCAATGACTCTGGGCCAAATCTCTGCTCTGAGGGGTCTATATCTAATTCATGGTAAACATACCTACATCCTGTCCTACTGTCTGTGGGGGTATAGCTAATTTTCAAACATTCTCTCTCTCTCTCTCTCTCTATTTCTCTTCCTCTCTCCAAAACACACACACACACACACACACACACACACACACACACACACAGAGGCTGCTTTGCCTTTCTCAGGTATGAATGTATGCCTGTTGCTCTAGTGTTCCCTACCAAGTGATCTTGTTTTAGCCTCCCCCGAACACTGTCATATGTGATGAGTGGGAGAGAGTAAAGGGTGAGGTCCACAGAGAGCTTTCTACAAAACCACTGTCCTCAAAAGCGTGTCTCCAAAATCTCCTCTTCAAAAGCTTCCCCTTTTTATATCAAGAGTATTTGCTAGTTAAATCCTGCTTTCAGATATGATACTTCATTTTTCTTATAGCATTATATGCTGGGTTGTAAAATAAAGTTTATTTTTAACATCTTGCTTATATCGATAACTTCTTATTGTCAGATACAAATAATATAATCTATCTATTAGCAAACTACTTGATTTAAGCTGTATAGTAGCACATATACTAATTTCCTGTCCTTCTACACACAATTTTTAACTCCTAGAAATTTACCTAAATGGCTCTTTATTTTCCTGGATCAGTGTTTCAAAGTTTTTAGGCCTACTTAGCAAATCCTTCATCAATGCTAGTATGCCTAGCAATCTCTGTAATACTTAATACTTACTTTTATTTATACTTTCTCCTTCCTTCTCTCTCATAACAATGTACTACAGTTTGATTGTCTTCTTACATGCCCAATAGCACCTTTTCAGAATGTTCGTTCCATCAGTCTGTAACATGCAGTTTCCAAAGCTCTGTCCTGGGACATAACTCATCTATGTCTTTCCTAAATCGGATCCTCATCCATTTTCTTACTCACAGCACTTATTCTCCTGGGCTTAGAAACTCGGCGTCATTATCCACCCATCTCTTCTCAAACTAGTTGCTGGTTCCTGTCACCTCTTTCTTAGATCAAATCTTGCAACTTTCCTGCTGCTACCAGTGCGCTTATTTAAGTTCTCATTTCATGTCAGCTTCTCTCTAACTGGTCTCCCTTCCTGTAGTGTCTGTTGGCTGTCATGTCAGCTGGACTCATTGGGAATCATCTAAGATCTTCAGTACCACAGAATAATTCACCTGCTTGTGGAGTAAACTAGGCCCTCCACAGTTTTATTTTTCATGTTTACACACACACACCTACCAGTAGGGTTGAACCACATTTTCTTCTGTGGCTCTATTTGTGTTCACACTGTTCTATTTGTCTGGAGGGCCCTTCCCCATGATCCTAGGTATGTAAGACTTTCTTTAATGCAAAGCTCACCTTGAATATCCCCCAAATTTGAATGCCCTCTCAGACTATAGCTACAACTCCTTTAGTGCATGCAACATTTTCTACCTTATATTACAGTTGTTAGAAATTGGGGGTAGAACTGAGAAGACAGTAAATCTGAATATGTTAATTGGATAAGGGTGGTAAGTTAACTTTAATTAGTACAGATAGAATATTCTAAATAAATGAATTCTGAGAAGACATTGGGAGTTAAGGAGATGAATTTGCTCTTTTGTGACCGGAGAAGCCCATAACATTGTTAGAGTTGGACCAGATGGAGTAGAATGTTCCATAGGTATGGAACTGCACACACACCATGTTTTAATGTATTAAGGAGGAAAAAACATGCAAATCAAGTTAAAATGCAATGTAGGTAGCTTTACACTGGAGGAAGTTTACATGACAAATTTGGATGTGGCTATGGCAGAAAAAAATGGTTAAGGTTATAAAGAGAATAGACTTGAGTTTTAAATAAATAGACTTTTCATCATAAAACTTGGCAATTATTTAAATGTTGCATACCATAATATGGTTTTAGACACTGTTTTATTTTATTGCTCTTACCTACATTATTTGGAGTCACTGATCTTTTCACTTACTGAACAAATAGTTATTGAGTGGCTACTACATGCTAGAACTGGTCAAGGAATACAATGGTGAGCAAAATAGATAAAGACCTTACCCCCATGAAGCTTAAATTTTAGCTTCATGGAAGAAAACTCCAAGCTAGAATATGGTAGAATCTATTCTACTGATGTGGTTGAATTTTTCCTGGGTCTTGGAAAGATAGGCCATCCTATTTGCTTAACATTTTTCCTGACATTTGCTCTCACCAAGGAGCATTAAGCCTAATGTGAGATGGAAGATTAGATAAAAGGGAGAGTCTATCAAAACTTTTTCATCAACTTTTCCATAGTATTCATTTTCTGGTGGGAAGATCTGTATCTGATTTGTCTTTGCATTCTCCTATGGCATGATTTTGTACACTGTAGCAAATATATTCTTGGATAAATATAACTATAGCTAAAATGATTATTTGTGGTAGGTTTGAAAAAAAGGACAGAAAAAGTATTCTTATAATTAAAATGGGATGAAGAAAGACTATAGAAGTTGGGTTCTAGCATTTTTTCTTGTGGATAAGCTTTTTACATTACTGATAAATCCACAGGAAAATTTCTGTAAGAGGATACTCTTTACATAAGGGTTCATATATGAGTCAAATTTGGATTCATAATCAGGATTTACTTAATCTGAGAAGCAGTGAATTCACCAAGAGCAGTAAAAATTCAATTTGCTTAATAAAATGACTTCCACATTACTTTGCAGGAGCGTATTTGTTGTATAATTCAGGCGTACCCACCTACTTCCTAGCTCACACACTCGAACCTTTTTTTCAGAGCTGACAGATTTTTGTG